GATGTAGATAGAGGAAATTGAGAGAGTCTTGACAGTGTGACTAAGACCCCTAGGGGCCAATTGTTGGCTTTCTGTGTGTACTGGACAATGTTGAGAACCAGGGGTGGTTCCAGGGGCAGAAAATGGGGCTATGGAAAGGTGAAGCTAGACTAGAGTTTTTGTGAAGGTTTGAGACAGGCAGGTGTAGATTTAGGGCTGGGATAGATTTGAGACTAAAAAGCTGAGCTGCAGGGATCCTTGCTTGCCAGAAATAGCCAACTGAGGAGACTGAAGTCATAGGGTCACATCAGGATTCTGAGACTTTCAGGATGATCAGCCCCTCCCCCCACTCCTGGACAGAGGTTGTCCCTGTATATTATTAGCAGGTCGAACGCAGGTCCAGAGGAGAAGCCCTGGTAGCCCTTCTCCCTATTGCTCACATTTCTCTCACAGGGGTGCCCTTCACTTTAGCTTAATGCCCTCTCAGTTTTTTTTTTTACCACTGATGGGGTCATTATACATCACTTAAGATGCTGCCCTGGAGGGTCAAGTGTGTGTCAGACAAGTATAAATTGGTTTATTTTCTTCCTCTCTTCTCTCCTCCTTCTTCCCCTCTCCAAGGTTTTTTTTTTTTTTTTTTTTCTTCCTCCAAAATACAGGCTTGATTCAGACTAACCAGGGGAGGTAGGAGTTCTCCCCCGGGTCTATGTCTGGACTACCAATGGACATGTCAGACTCCTCTGGCTACTAGGTGGAACTGGAAGAGGTACAGAAGTGGCAGGGAACAGCTAAGGAGCATGTGAGGTTCAGACTGCACGTTCAAGTGAGACGCCAGCTGCTGAGGACCCAGAGTGGAAGCTGGGAGGAGGAGGAAAAGAAAGCCGGGAGAGAGGAGCTGGAAAGGCCCCTGGGGTGGGGAGTTCCCTGTTCTGTCCAGGAGAGGCAGAAAATGAGTCTGGCAGAACCACCAAAGACTTAAGCAAAAGCAAGAGCCTAAAATGTGCATATAGGCCAGGACGGTTAAAGCAAAACGGCACCACCCCCAGGAAGCTCCTCACTGAAATCTTAGGAGTCCTCAGTGAAATCTTAGGACAGATCTGAATCCAGCATTTGGGAGATTAGCCAGTTAGAAGCCTTAGGAAAAAGACTGACTTTCAGATTTCAGCCAAGGATGTTAGTAGTGATTTTTTTTTTTAACCACGATCTGGAAAACTGAGGATCCCCTTTGCCAAAATCAGGGAAAGCTGTAGTAGGGTGGGCAGAGACTTTCAAAGCTACTACTGGGTCTCGGCTTAAAGGTATAGGTGAGGAACAGGTCCTCGTACCTTCCTGCCCATACCCTCTTCATGCTATTTCTCTCTAAGCAGCGAGAGGTGGGATCTGGAGTGGGAAAAGCCCTGCTGTGCTGTCCCTGAATAACACCTGCATCCCTACTGTGGCTCGACTCACCCTCTAAGGCCTCAGTTTCCGGGACATGATGGGGACCAAGCTGGTGCTACAGAAACCAAAGGCAGAAGCAAGTAGTCATCACTCCCATTTATAGCCCAGCCCCAGCGGACACAAGTCCTGTTTCCGTCCCACCTCAGCGATGCTGGAAGTAGAAACCTATCTGCATTTTCACCTGTAGCTAAAACTAGTCAGTGTGGATCTGGGCCTCTTCATTCTTCACTGGGTCTTGCAGGGATGAGTTAAGAAGCAGCTCAGGGACCTGGCTTGAATAAAAGGCCGATACCAGGGAGGAGCAGGAGTCTGTTTTTCTCACTCCTCCCCTCCTTCACCTCTATCCAGCTTCTAAGGCTGGGCAGCTTCTCCCCTGGATCTTATCAGGGGAAACTCCCTGCCCTTGATTCTGAGTCCAGATGCCACAGTACCTGTTTCCTTGTGCTGCATGAGTTCGTGAGACAAGATGAAATCAGGAATTACTCCTCCTGGGACTCAATACTGAAGAATTCTCCACAGTTCAAGGTCTCTTCCCTACCCCAACCCAATCTCTCCTCTCGCCCTCGCGCCGCCCCGCCCCCCAGTACCCTGAGACTGGGCTCTACTACCCTCTAGTGGCCAGAGAGGAAAGGGCTGTCCCACCCAGTCAAGAGCTTCAAGCCTTTACCAGATGTTTGGTTTGCAAGACAACTAAGAGGTTAGCCAACAATGTTTTATAAATGAGAAAGAAGAGGCCTAGAGAAAACTTTGAGAGTCAAGATATAGTTGGAACCAGAACCCAAGTCTCTTGACTCCCAGGTCAGTACTTAGTCTACTTTCACTGCCTCCCCTCTGACTTTTGTCTCTTCCTAACTCATCCCTGGGGAAATCAGAACGAATCAGAAAAATGCCAAAGTGAACTTCCCTGGCTGCCCAGTGGTTAAGACGCCAGGCTTCCACTGCCTGGAGCGAACGTTGGATCCCTGTTGGGGAACTGAGATCCCACATGCAAAGTGGCAGGCCTCTCCTCCCTCCCCACGCCCCGCTCCAAAAAATACGCTAAAGTCAAAAGGACATGGTCCCTCCTCAATCTTTGCTGAGCAACACCGGCACCTGAAACGTCGTAGTCCCAAGTGAATTCGCAGCTTAAACAACAGGGGTCTTTCTCAAGAACTGGCTCTGAGTTCAACACTCATCATTTTTATTGACCTAGCACAGCTCCTGTTGCCATGGTGACAACAGTACTTCCCGGTAGCTCCCCAGGTCTCCTGTCTCCACGGTAACCAGTGCTTTGCGACCTTCAATTTGCAGCGTCGTGCTGCAGCCGCGGCCGTGGTTGCTGGGTGACGGCGGTGAGAGCCGGTGCCTTGAGGTGGGGACCTGGAGGGGCTTCCGGTAGGGACAGTTCCAGAGAATCTTGGGCCCCCATATAGCCGGCCTCCAGGCCGCCGTTCCCGCAGCTCGCCTCTACCGGGTCCCATGGCGGGGGCTGTGGGTGAGGCGCGGGGCTCGGGCTGGACCTGGCGTCCGGTGGCGCGGGACCCGCTGCTGGCGCGGGCCTTCCATTCATGCACTGAACTGCGGGGACGGTTCTATCTGGTGGGGGGGCTCCTAGCTGGAGGAGCGAGAGAGCCGAGCGGTGAAACGGTGGTCTTCGACCCGGCTGGGGGCCAGGCCGTGCGGGTGGCAGCACGGGGCGGCCCGAGGCGCAGCCACCACGACGCGGCGCCGGTGGGCGGGCGCTGGCTCTGCTTGGTGGGCGGCTGGGATGGGTCGCGCCGCTTGGCCACTGTGACCGCTTTGGACACGGACCGCGGTGTGTGGGAGGCGTGGACCGCCGGCTCCGGCAGCTGCCCCCCTGCCGGCCTCAGTAGTCACACTTGTACCCGAATCTCCGACCGAGAGCTGCGGGTAGCAGGCCGGGAGGGCGGAACCCGCACTCAGCGTCGTTACGGAAGCATCTACACGTTAAGGCTGGACCCTGGCGCCCGCACCTATTGGTATGACCTCCCCTGCCCTAAAATTTTCACCCGTCCTTCACCTGCACTCTAGAAAAACAGATTCGCAGGCAATTTATCTAACATCCGCACCCTAGCACCATTCTTCCCTGGGAAACTTCCATGTCTAAAAGAGTTTTACTCTCATTTAATATTACCCTTCATCTCAACTTAACTAGATGTGGCCCTTTCCCATGTCTCCCTTCTATCGTTGGCGAGGGGAGAGGGGAAAAGGCAGTATACAGCACTTCCATTTTCCAGAAAACCCAACTCAGGCCTGAATTTCACAGCTATAAGGAAGAAGGCTGCCACACTGTTTCACGCTCGGGTCACTGTGCTGCTTTGCTCCAAAGTCCTGGGCCCCACCCGGGTCACCAGCTATTACTCTTTGGGGGTTGCAACTCAGGTGAACCAGAGGTAGCTGGGCATTGGAGTCATGGGAAGATTAAGGTATTGTCTACTCACATCTCGCTAAGGGTGGAACGTGACTAAACTCTGGATGCCCAAATCCCTCCAGACAGTCCCTTCTTTCTCCCTCAAGGAGGAACCACCTGTTGCCCCGCATTTGATGGAAAAGCTTTCAAGGCTCGTGAGCAGCGGGCAGGGGTCCCAGCAGGGGCCTCGAGGACTACGCCATCACTCATGTTCTGTGGTTGGGCCCTTTGCTGTCCTGTTTGGTGGAGAAACTTTGACCAGAGCCAGAGACACCATCTGCAATGACCTCTACATCTATGATACCCGTGAGAGCCAGCTTAATGGTTGAGAAGGGGGAAAGGTGGGAAGACAGGAGAATATGAAGACTACAGAGAGAAAAAGGACAGAGTAGAGGGTTAGGGAGGAGGAAGAATTAGTCGACAACTTAAAGGAATACACAGAATATTAAATTTTTGAGAGGCCTGCAAATCATGGGAGGAGAAAACCAATGAGCATGGCTTTGGTCTTCCTGGGAGCCCCACGGGGGCCAGAGTGCTGCTGCCTCAGTAACCACCCTCTGCCCTTGCCCGACAGGAAAGTCTCCCCCTCTGTGGTTCCACTTCCCCTGCGCCGACCGGGGACTAAAACGCCTGGGCCATCGCACCTGCCTTTGGAACGATCAGCTCTACCTGGTTGGGGGTTTTGGTGAGGATGGCAGGACAGCTAGTCCACAGGTTTGCATTCTAGACCTCTTTATCTAAAGAATAGTGCCAAGATACACTGCCAAGCCTCTGTTTTGTTGCAAACTCAAAGCATTATCACAGAGCTGTCTTCCTCAAATGCTGATTAAATTTTAACCTGAGTCAACACTGTCTCTGAATCTTTTGGTGGGGAGGGAAGTAAATAAGGAGATGCATCTTTATTTGTAAAGGAAAGGATAAAATATAAGACCTAGTCTGATACTGTGAACCATTAACCTGATAGAACCAAAACCACAAATCGTATGCTTATCCATGCCCCATGCAAATTCTACCCCTCATACTGGGTGAAAGGTTCAGGCTAGAGCTAAGCATTCTGACCAAAACATTTAATTAACAAAAAAATATTACAATAGCAGAGAAAATAATAATAACAATAAAGAGAAATTAGAAGTGGGAATCAGGGTAGAAAACAATGCAAAGGCTTTGGTTTCTAGGAGACCAACACGCCAGCTGAGCTGGCCTTAGCCCCAGCGCCTTCTGAGTTTTCCTTGGCTGCTGGCTTCTCGTCTTCCCCCATGAGACGAATGTTGTGCTTTTCCCGAAATTCATTTAGTTCTTTTCCCTTTGCCTGAAGCTGTTGTGTCAGTGTCTCAATGATCTTCTGTATCTGGAGGGCAAGCGACATGGATTATGTAAGGATTTCAGGACTCCCTTCCCCCATCTGTTAATGCACAATGGTTGGGAGAAGTGAAGGACAGATGATACCTCTAACCTCATCTTTAACCCAATATTAATAGTAGAACCCAGACACTTAAAAGTATTCCTTAAAACAGTATTCTTTAAAACAATGGTTTAAAAACTTCAGTATACATAAGAATCACCTGGGCTGATTATTTTTAAAATGCTCTTCGTGGCTCCCATCCCCAGCAGTTTTGAATCAGTGGGTACAGGAGAGGGTCTGGGAAACTGCATTTAAATTAGTCCTCTAGGTGATCTTGGATGCAGGTTCCCATGGACTACACTCTTAAAAACCCCACTCTAACCACCTTCCTTCTCCCAACTCAGCCAGGTCACAGAAGCCATGGTGAGAGGCACAGTCAGCCACTCCTTTGTCTAATGAGTTAGACTTAGCATAACATAAAGAGCATAGGCCAACAGGCTATTTATGCTGTCTTCAATGTGAGTCCCTACCCACACTTTCCTCCCCACATTCTCTAAAGCCCCAGCCTCCCCTTTCTTACGCCTTGGTTGCTCAGAGCATCTATACGGGGATTCTTGCTCACCTGCTCCTTGTTGTTCTCCAAGGCAGGCAGCACCTCTTTGACGGTCCGCTCCACCAGCACCCCTCCAACCATGCGGTAGCACTTGCGGGTTTCATCCACCTCCTTCAGAGTATCAATCACTAGGCTGAGGTAGGAGGACAAAGCAGGGTCTGAGAATTCAGTCCCACTCTGCTACAACGTTCGTACAAAGTGGCCCATCCACCTCTCCTACTGTTTGCTCCTCACCTGTGCTCATTCAACTCCATCTCCAGCTCTGCTGCTTTGGATGCCAGGCCCCGCTGTTCCTGCCTAAGACGGTTGAAGCCAGCGATTACCTAAGAAGATGAAAAAGAGATAAGGTGAGAGAGGGGACAGTGGAAATGGCAGAGGGCCAACAAACAACCAACTCACTGGAAAAGACCCTGACACTAGGAAAGACTGAAGGCAAAAGGAGAAGAGGACGGCAGAGGATGAGATGGTTAGACAGAGTCACCAACTCGATGAAAATTAATCTGAGCAAACTCCAAGAGACACTAGAGGACAGAGAAGCCTGGCACTCTGGAGTCCATGCTGTCACAAAGAGCTGGACATGATTTAGCCGCTGAACAACAACAACATACAACACAGCATGGCAGGCTTTACAGAGACGCAGTAGTAGGCACCCACCTGGCAAAAGGAGTGGAACACAGTCTGCAATTTGTAACTTATGTCTGTCTGGAACTCCATTCAACCAACACTGAGTGCCAGCCAGGTGGCTAGACCATCTTGCAACTTAGTTTGGTGAGGACTAGGCATTTGTTACATAAGAACGGAGGTGGAGAGCTACTGGAGCACCTACCGGGGAGCTTACACTTGCAGGTTAAGGAAAGGCTTTGCAGTAATTCTTGTTTGGGTCTGCCCAGCATCCCTCTCGATAGGGAACTGCCCCTCCTAATTCACTGGGGTTCTTGTGGGCTACTAATTACAGGATCCTTGCTCCTTGACCCCAGGACAGTAACCTATTCTATACTAGAGTCTCTCTACAGGAGAGACAAACAGGTACAAAATGCAGCTGGAGCTAAGACACCAAAGTGAGTATTCAGTCATCTCTGACATTTTGTGACCTTATGGACGGTAGCCCACCAGGGTCTTCTGTCTGTGAGATTTTCCAGGCAAGAACACGAGTGGGTTGCCATTTCCTCCTTCAGGGAATCTTCCCGACCCAGGTATGGAACCACCACTGCCTGTGTCTCCTGCACTGCGGACAAATTCTTCACCACCTGAGCCACCAGAGAAGCCCCAACACTGACAGCCGTCCTGTAAAGACTATCCTCTACTCCTTTCCTGAAATCCCTGAAGATGCCCTATGCCCTACTTCTTGAACTCTGCGTGGCCTAGATGATCAACGTTTCTTTTCACCGTGTTCAATTCTGTGTTCACTGTGTTCAGTTCTACCATCGTCCTTCTAAAACAGTCCTTTAAAAAAAAATAAGTGGCCCAAAGCCCGTATCTGCAGCCTGTAAATCCTAACTGATAATAGGTTTCCTGAGAGAGAATGCCTTAACTGAAGCCTAAAGATGAGCAATTGGGGGTGACAGTGGGGTGGGTAGTGGTGCAAAAGAAGCATAATAACATACTTAAAGGCCCAGAGAAGTGATTACCACCAGCTGCTTCTTCCCCAGAAACTGAGCAGAGAATCAGACTGAAAGTCAGCCTGGGTACTAATACCACCATCAGCAACACATCTAGTATAGCACTCTGATGACTGTATTTGGAAAGAAATATCAGATGAAAGACAAAAGACTAGGTTTCAAGTTTTGTCTCTGTCACATACTGGTTTTATGAACTGTGACAGACTTTTAACCCTATTCGTTTAACCCTGGCTACAAGTTAGAATCAGGGGATCAGTTTTAAAACATGATGGAGAAGGAAATGGCAACCCACTCCAGTATTCTTGCCTGGAAAAGTCCATGGACAGAGGAGCCTGGCGGGCTGCAGTCCATGGGGTTACATGACTGAGCATGTGTGCACGAGGGTGGAGGGAGATGGGCTGGTAGCAATAAAGTGGTAGAACTAAAAAGAATGAATAAATAAATAAAACATGAATAGTGGAACCTCAGAACAATTACACAATCACTGGGAGTGAGGCTCCAGGCCTCACTATTTCAGAAAACATCTCCCATGAAATTCTGATGTGCAGGCAGAACTGAAAACCACTCAGCTAATCTCTCTGAGCTTTAGTTTTCTTACCTGTGATATGCAGATAATACCTACTTCATAGGGCTGTTGTATCACATGAATGAATTACTGTGGAACAGTTTTGTAAGCAGTGAAGTACATTAATTACCATCATGACCTCTCTCCCAACAGAGTGTCCCTTGGACCCTCACAGTCAGCTGAGAGCAACAGGCCCATTCAAACCATTACCAAATCTCTCATAGTCACTTCCATCATCTCCATTCTCACTGCCATTGATGACTAAGCACCTCATCTTTACTAGGATCCCTTATTTCTAGCTCTCTCTGCAAGATTCATATACAGCTAATATCATGCTGTCCTGTACCACCTCTGCATCCCTTCTACTGCCCAATAAATGAAGGAATAAATTTGACCAGGAACTTGTCATTCCAGCAGCTTGTTTCCTTTTCCCAACCATCATCCTTTCATCTCAATCTGCTTCATCCACTCATTTCAGCAGATGCGTCGGAAATCTCACTCATCTACAAGCTGTTTTTCCTTCACCTTCATTACCTATATCAAAACTATTCCATTTATAATTAGCATTTTCTCCACTGTCAATTTAACATCAAAATACTTTCATCTAAGAAAATTCCACAACTAAGCTAGATTCCAGATGCCCTCCTAGCATCTGAATGACATCCATTCTTCTGGCTATATGTTGTATTTAACATACATTAATGAAATCAGCTTAAATGTCGAAAATTTCTGAGACCTGAAATTATTTTCTTTAGTATAATAATTAGTAGGACTCTACTTTTCAACCACCAGTTTAACACCACTAAAGGCAAAGAAGTTTTTTTAAATTCCAACTTTTCCTCAAACACTCTTGCTGATTAACAATGCCATATTTCAACCCTATACTTAACAACCCTATAATAAGCAGAGATGACCAGGTCACTATTGACTCCCTCAGCCCTATTAAATCATCTCACACATAAACACTCCTCCTGAAAAAGAATCCAATTAAAATACCAACTCTTTCCTTTTTTTGCCCGTGAGGTGCAGCAGGATCAGTTTCTGATCAGGAACCGAACCCACAACCCCTGTAGTGCAAAGGCAAAGTCCAAGCCACTGGGTCACAGGCAAGTCCCTGCTGCTCCTATTCTAAACTAACATCAAGCCTCACAACTATACAGAGCCCTCATATTCTCATAACTGGCCTGTATAAATAATTTTACAGAGGACATCTTTTTTTGTTTGTTTGTTCCCAGTTTTCTTCAGATATAATTGATAGGGGACTTCCCTGGCAAACCAGTGGTTAGGACTCAGCTTCCACTGCATGGGTCCTGGGTTTGACCCCTGTTTGGGGAACTAAGCTCCCACATGACGCACAGTGCTGCCAAAAACAAAGATAACTGACCTAGAGCATTGTGTAAGTTTAAGGTATATAACATTAGGATTTTATATATATATTTGGAAACAATTAGCACAATAATATTAGTTAATATATCCATCACCTCAGTTACTTTTGTGATGAGAACTTTTAAGACTTCTGCTCATAGCAACTTTCAAGTATGCAACACAGTATCGTTAACCATAGCCGTCATGCTATAATTAGATCCCCAGAACTTATTCATGTTATAACTCCAATTTTGTTACCTTTTGACCCTGCTTCACTCAGTCCCCCTCTTCCCGCTCCAAAGCACCAATCTACTCTGTTTCTATGAGCTCAATTTTGCTTTTTTTACGCCACATATAAATGAGATCATTAAGTGTTTTTCTTTGACTTATTTTCATTGAACATAATACCTTCAGGGTTCATTCATTTTGTCACAAATAGCAGAATTTCCTTCTTTTTTTATAGGTGAATAATATTCTCCTGTGTGTGTATATATGTGTGTGTGACATTTTATGTATTCATCTACAGGACATGGTATTCTAATTTGTAAGGGCTATATAGCATTTAAACCTTATTGATACTTTCTTTTAATACATAAACCATCTAACCATTCTTCTCTTGTTGGGACATTTAGGTTATTTCCAATTTTTCTGTAATAAACAGCATTGATTTTACATATCTGGACAAACAGTACAAAACTTTACAGTCATTTCTCTTGAATCATATTCCCCCAAGTAAGACGGAGTCAAAGGGTATTAACATTATTATAGTTTCTACTGTATGTTGCTATAAACTTCTCCAAGATAACCAGATGACTTCTCAGTGCTACCAGCAATGTCATGACTGTACCTAATGGTAGCTTATATTACCTGTGTTAATTTAGTAATTTTTAGAGCAGGAAGAGATCTTAATTCCAGAAACCTTGGAATCATCCTCAACTCACTATCCACCCTCAATTAATTAACTTCTAAATCATATCTATCTACTGAATACCTCAAATCCATCCACTATCATCTCTCACCTGTACTGTGGAGCCTCCTGGGTGAGTTCCACACTTGCCTCCTTCAATCCATTTCCCACACTTCAGCACAAGTAACCTTAAATTTAAATCTAACCATCCTATGCCTAAACCTTCAATTATTCCCACTACTCACGGGATAAAATCCAAACTCCTGAAGACAGCAGGAAAAAAGTCCTACAGACCTGGTCCTTGCTGACCTCTTGCAGCCAGTTCTTGCCCCACCTCTTACACTCAGCACCATCAGGCCTCCCGTACTGCAGGCAGACTCTTCTCTGTCTCAGCCACCAGGGGAGCCCATGGCCCAGCAGAACCACTTGCAATTCCCCCGTCATTCACCTTCAGGCATTTGCAGAAAATCCACAGCCTACCTAGGACACTTACCCGAACCTCTCTCATCGCGCTTTTCTCTGCCTGACTCTGATTCATTCCTCCCGTTCCAACAGATTCTTCCTGGAAGCGGTTCTTGCCACCCCTAGGCCCATACCAACTCTTTGCATGCACTCACATATAAGCACCTGTCAGTTTCCTACACTTTTTGATAGAAAACTTTTTCTATTTTCACATACTATGTTCTTTATTTTCCATCATACCACCTACCTCTAAACTTTATTATCTTCTTTGAAAATTTAAAATATGTAAATATAACTTCTTTTAAAATACCTGCATCTTTTATAGTCCTAAAATAACCTGTCTTCCTTCCACCACAGTTTGCACAGAAAGGGTGCACTATTATGTGCCTGGTACTTTGCTGGACTCTTTATTTTATTTAATTCTAAAACAAACAACAAAAGCAACAAAAAACATTATAAGACATGTACCTTCGGTAAAATACAAATCATGAAACTAAGGCCGGTGGAATGTGGGGGTGGATAAAATAACACAGTGGACTGCAGGACTGCTACTTTTACCATGGTCTAAGAATTCATTTTCTATTAATGTATTACTCCTGGCTTGTCACACAATCATCTCTTAATGAGTCAAACTATTTCCATTTGATTTATTTTTGTTTTCTTTCTTTTTTATTTGATACCATATAGTTTTGGTAAGTAAGGGGAAGATCTATAATCATTATATTTATCACCCAAAGGTCTTATCTACATGATATTTACTCTTACTGGGTTTAATGGAAGAATGAAAGGGATAGAGAATTATGACTGGATGCATCTGGAAAAGCATTTTCCGGGCTGTCACTGCACTTAATATCTTCTTTTTAGTTCAGTGCCCCCTTTTCTGACTAACATGTGCTGTGTGCTTATTTGCAGTCACGTCTGACTCTCTGTGATTCCCTGGACTATAGCCTGCCAGGTGCCTCTGTCCATGGGGATTCTCCAGGCAAATATATTCAACTCTAAAAATTTCTCTGAGCTTATCAAATGATGATTCTCATCCTTTCTCTTCATCGAAGTTTTTAGGACCAGTCTATACTCACTGCCTCTACTTCCTCACCTCCCAATTCACTTTATTTATTTAAATGTTTGACCATGCCAAGAGGCTTGTGGAATCTTAGTTCCCTGACCAGAGATCGAACCTGGGCCATGGCAGGGAGAGCAGCAAGTCCTCCACTGGACCGTCAGAGAATTCCCAAGTTATGTCTTTTTTGAATCAAGTTTTTTCACCAAAAAAATTGGAGGTATCTATCTCATACAATGTAGTGAGGATTCATTAATTACATCAAGGACTTAGGACATTATCCAACATAGAACAGATTGTCAATAAACAGTACCTGCTATTATTATAAAACAGCTCCACCTAAATGTCCTATAGATACCCGAAACTCTGAACTTCCTTTTACTCCTTTTTTTTTTTTCTTTTTTGGCAACTCACACAGCATGTGGGATCCTAGTTCGCTGACCAGGGTTCAAACCCGCACACCCTGCATTGGAAGCTCAGAGTCTTAACCACTGAACCATCAGGGAGGTCCTTTTACTCCATTTTAAACTACTCTTCTTCTTGTCTCCCCTCTTTCCGCTCATGACACAACTCTAGCCTGGTAGGAAACCCTGGTTTCCTCTTTGAACACACCCTTATCCCATCAACTGCCAAATTTATTGCCTCTACCTCAGCAATTTTTCTTAGACTTACTGACACTGATCCTGCCAACTGAAGGCCTCATTACCTCTTGTCTGAGATACTGCAACAGTCTTCTAGATTATCTCCCCATTTTTGGACTCTCCAAATCCATCCTATACATTGTTGCTAATTTAATTCTTCTAGCACTTGGATGCAGAGAAGGCAATGGCACCCCACTCCAGTACTCTTGCCTGGAAAATCCCATGGACAGAGGAGCCTGGTAGGCTGCAGTGCATGGGGTCGCTAAGAGTCAGACACGACTGAGCAACTTCACTTTCCCTTTTCACTTTAATGCACTGGAGAAGGAAATGGCAATCCACTCCAGTGTTCTTGCCTGGAGAATCCCAGGGACCAGGGAGTCTGGTGGGCTGCCGTCTATGGGGTCACACAGAGTCGGACACGACTGAAGCGACTTAGCAGCAGCACTTGGATGACACAGAAAAATATTCATGATATAGTATTAAGCTTAAAAGCAGATTATGAAATATCAAATAACTGTATTTAGAATACTATATAAAATTAAAGACGTAAATGTGTAAAATACACATGTACAAAAACATAAAGGAGGGGGAAAAACCTCTCAAAGGATACATTTCAAAATGGTAAAAATAGTTATCTCTGGATAGTAGGGCCATGGGTAATTTATTTCTTATCTTGTACTTTTTCTTGTGTTTTCTACAATGAATATGTATTATTTTATGTAATAAGAAAAAAATGAATGGTATAACATATATCCTTCTATGAGTCCCTCACTGCTTACATTAAAAAGTCCTGAATTCTTTGCCATGCAAAGACTCAGTATACTTTAAGGACTATACCTTTCTAACTTATAACTCATGATTTAGCTAGACAAAGTAGTCACTGCACTTCATGTCAACCTATGCTTTCTCTAGATCTCCTCTTACCCTATTGTCTATATTCTGTTTCTACTGCCATCTGTTCAAATTTATCCAATCCTTCAGGCTCAGCTCAAATATCTCTAACAGGATCATGGCATAAGCAGAAAAAAATAGTCTGTCCGATTCTCAAGTCCCTCAATTAAAAACTCTCCCAGTCTGAGTAAGTGAAAGCCTCTGAAACTCAAACATTCTGAGGACAACACTGCTCCTTCAAATGGCAGTAATTAAATAACAAAATAAACAAGTAACGTGCCCAGCACAATGTGCCACTTGCCTCATCTTGTCTATGCAGCTGGGATCTGAAGCAGTGACAAATGTTTTTTACCCAGTGTTCTCTCTGGAACACAAAGGTCAGAGAATGTTAAGCAAGGAACAGCCTCAGAACTCAATTACCACAATTCTTCAGTCTGTTTTGACGGCCTCTTTTTCTCTATCATCCCTTAAAACTGGTTTCACTCTGTTCTACTTCTTTTTTCACTTTCTGTCCAAACCTTAGGTGATTTCACCCACAACCATGGCTTTGGCTACCATTCATAAACGTATAATTCTCTGTATCTCCAATTCAGATTTCTTTCTGTAACCTGACATTATGAATCAAACTATCTACTAAATGTCTCTACCTGTATGTCCCACAAGAAATTCAAATTCAAACTTACTTTCTCCCCAAACGTGTCCATCTTCCTACATTCCCTAAAGGCACCATCAAAGACAGAAACCTGAAGGACATCCAAGAGTCCTCTTTTGTCCCCTTTTCTCCACTTTCAAGTCTTGCAGTAATCCATTCCAAACTTTAAGTCCATCTGCATCCCAAACATATCAGGAAGTTTCACGCCACAGTGTTTTTAAACCTAGAAAATCCTCCAGTTCCTTCTTTGCTTGATTAACTTCTCTCATCCTTTAGAACTGAGCTGAAAGATTATCTTTTTTACAAAACAAAATAATTAACATTTATTATGCACATCAGGTACTTTGGCCACCTGATGCAAAGAGCTGACTCATTTGAAAAGACCCTGATGCTGGGAAAGATTGAAGGCAGGAGGAGAAGGGGATGACAGAGGATGAGATGGTTGGATGACATCACCGACTCAATGGACAGGAGTTTGAGTAAACTTCGGGAGTTGGTGATGGACAGGGAGGCCTGGCATGCTGCGGTTCATGGGGTCGCAAAGAGTCACACGACTGAGCGACTGAACTGAACTGAAACACATGGTATATTTTGTTTTATATCACTGTGCAAAACAATTAGTATATATACTGTTGTCTAAAAACTCTTCTCCCCTCCCCCCAAATTCCATAACACTTCATATCTATATCTCTCATACATATACTTCTGCCTCACATTAGCATTTTGTGTATGTCTTATTTTTCTCACCAGACTAAAAGCTCTTTGATTGCAGGAGTCAGTTTTAAAAATCTTTATGCTGAATACCTCTGCCTATAGTAACTGTTCAACAAATAACTGATAAAAGAACCTATAATTAAAAGAGCTATTGTTTTAATTACGTTTTCCTATTACACGGATTTCTTCCCACCCCTAATAAACACTAGCCCCACTATCAGCAAACCACGGTTCCCAAGCAACAAACGGCTTTCTGATTAATTTATCAAACGTTTCCCGGTGCTAGGCACTGGGAGAAATGCATGCTCGAATTTTCAGTAAAGGATTTCTGGTGTCTATTCAATCCAGTAATGACTCTCAAAACAGTATGAAACACTAGACTGTTCGAGTATGTGAGTCACGTGGCTCTGCAGTGATGACGATTTTCAGCGTGGCTTCAGGGTCAAGTAACAGACTACACTACCAGTCCGTCGACTAATCCCCTAGGACTCGTCAAGACCTGCCTCACCTAGCCATATCCTGGTCCAAGGTGCGGGGGAAAAATGGGGAAAGGGGCCAGCCATTTTTTCTCAGACCTGCGCATCCTCGCAGCGCCTGCTTCCCCGAGATGTTCTCTCGCCCAGACCCAACCCTCCGAGGGGGCGTGGCTCTCACCTACCAATCCGCCTACTCTCTCCCCGGGGGCTCGGCTGGCTCCTCCAAGGACCCTCCCCTCTCTGGATGGCCACGCAAATGCGGGACTGGAGTAAAGGTCTGCACAGCCACAGGCTTCCCCCACTCCTCTCACAAGGGCTCTGGACCCAGCCAGCTTGCCCTACTTCACGTTCCCTGGTCCTCACCTGCTCTGCGGACACCGCCCCCTTCCCCGTGCCGCTCCCGCTGCTCTTGCCGGCGCGACCGCCGTTCTCCGCCATCTTCACCGCCTGCTAGGCTTCCGGCCTTCGCGGCTCAGCACCCCCTGCCTGCGTCACGTCCGGTCTCGGAGTTACCGCCCACTCGCCCCTGGAACCTCCACCTCTAGGCCGAAGTTTGGTTCGGATGCCGCGGATGATTTTGGCTATATCTTAATGTAGGACCTACTACCTATCCCGCCCACCCCGATGAATTCCACCTGCGGTGCTTTAACTTATGCAACAGAGACGCTGCCCCTGGGAGGCGCGGGAAAGAAAGGGTTAACTGGAGAGTGGGGCGCTGGTCGGGATCTGGGTGCCAGTGACCCCCTGCCCACCACTGGGCGGTGAGAAACGAGGGAGGGTGAACTTCCCCTCAGAGATTCTGGTGGGGAAATATGTTTTGCGTCAGTAAAACTGACTGCAGGTGCACAGTCAGGAAGAGAAGCTGGGAAAACCAAGGAAGTATCTCGGAGATGACTTTTGAACTGCGGAAACGTTTGTCTGAGGAAATAGGCTTCAATTTAATGTGAAATCAAAGGCCTTTCCTCCATCTTCCCACTTTATGATCTCTTCCGGTAGCCCATAATTACCTATGATAAGGAATGTTTTGACGACTTGGGAGGTTTTACAGGGAGGGTCCTGATTCAGTCTCACAGTATGAAGAGAGAAGTCAGGGGACCTTAGGAACTTATTGCTTGAGAGTGGGGTTGGTGTCCTGATTTCTCACTTTCTTCAGGCTGGGCTTCACCATCAGGCCTCCTCACCAACTCCTGTCCCTTCTTTCGTGTCCTGGACTCCGGATACCTCGATTTTCAGTACTTTGTGCTCCACCCAGGTAACATGTTTTGTTGTGCTCAGTTGCCTGGCACATAATAGATGCTCAGTAAATGTTTGTTAAATGTATGGATGGTGGGAAACACTGGGGCACCAACCATCCACAGAAATATTTGATTAGTGGGTCATTTATGCCATGGGTCATTGTGCCCTGTAAGAGTAAAATGAAAGGAAAGTCTAGCTCTCCTGTCTCAATATTTTAGCCTCTTATCCTTAAACTTAGGTTTCTCCATGCTAATCAGTCTGAGGCCTGCCTATGCCATTTACAGACTCAGAACCATGGCCGTCTCATCTTCTTCCTGGGAACTGCCCCTGGTGGCTGTGTGCCAGGTAACATCGACCCCAGACAAGGAGCAGAACTTTAAAACGTGTGCTGAGCTGATTCGGGAGGCTGCCAGACTGGGCGCTTGCCTGGCTTTCCTGCCTGAGGCATTTGACTTCATTGCACGGGACCCTGCAGAGACACGCCGCCTGTCTGAGCCACTGGGTGGGAAACTTTTGGAAGAATATACCCAGCTTGCCAGGTATCAAGGGGGAGGGAGAGGTAGTTTCTTTCTGAGTGATGTCCTAGGATTGCCAGACATGAGGTTAGAACCTTGAGTTGTCAGTGTCCCCTCCCCCTCAGGGAATGTGGACTCTGGCTGTCCTTGGGTGGTTTCCATGAGCGTGGCCAGGACTGGGAGCAGACTCAGAAAATCTACAACTGTCATGTGATTCTGAACAACATGGGTGAGACTCTTTAGCCTGCCTCCTCAGGCAATTCTACCTAAGATTCTCCAGATTTCTGTTTTCTCAACTGTTTCCTTGGCCAGGGGGTTTTGGGAGTATTTGTACTTCTGTTCCTAGCCTATAAGCTATCTTCTCTCTGGGAGGAGAGGATCTAAGCTGGCTTTCTAGGTGCTGGTGCCCTAGTATTCTTTCTCCCTCTTACTCTAGGGTCAGTAGTGGCCACCTACAGGAAGACGCATCTGTGTGATGTAGAGATTCCAGGACAGGGGCCTATGCGTGAAAGCAACTCTACCATACCTGGGCCCAGTCTTGAGTCTCCTATCAGCACACCAGCAGGCAAGGTGGGCATTGTGAAAGGACGAGGGTAGGAAAGGGGCAAGAGGGAAGGGAACAGGAATACTTTAAAGCGGGGGTAGAGGACAGAAAGCTCTAAGGAGTGTGGTGGCAGGGTTATGACCAAATGCTGTGAAATGCAGGCAGGGGGGCTAAGTATGCTGTTTCATTCCAGATTGGTCTAGCTGTCTGCTATGACATGCGGTTCCCCGAACTCTCTCTGGCATTGGTTCAGGCTGGAGCAGAAATACTTACCTACCCTTCGGCTTTTGGATCTGTCACAGGCCCAGCCCATTGGGAGGTAAGAGAATACTTCTTCAGAACCTAAGGGCCTTTTCTTACTTCATTCTCCTTCCTTGGTTCTACCAGTTAAAAGATTTTCTCCTTCCCACATACTGGGAAAATTCATTTCCCCAGATTGTTGCCTCTCAGAGTAGTAAATCATTCACAGGGCAATTATCAGAATGGTCACAATGGGTAGATTGGGCTGTATTGTCCATGGCTTACCACTTCCCTACCAGCTGCTACATGTACTTAAGTGGACACCTATCTCCTCCATCCCTAGGTGCTGTTGCGGGCCCGTGCCATTGAAACCCAGTGCTATGTGGTGGCGGCAGCACAGTGTGGACGCCACCATGAGAAGAGAGCAAGTTATGGCCACAGCATGGTGGTAGATCCCTGGGGAACAGTGGTGGCCCGCTGCTCTGAAGGACCAGGCCTTTGCCTTGCCCGAATTGACCTCAACTATCTGCAGCAGTTGCGCAAACAACTGCCTGTGTTCCAGCACCGCAGGCCTGACCTCTACGGCAATCTGGGTCACCCACTGTCTTGACTTTTGACTTCTGTCCACTGAGACCTCTATTGTGAGCTGGTGTTGTGACTTGTAGGCAGGACCCAGGCGCAGCTTCCCTCACTTGGAGAACCTTGTCTCTTGATGGAACACAGGCTCAGCTTCTTGGAAAAGAAGAAACTTTCACCTGAGCTCAGATTTCAGTTTCAGAAAGGTGGAATTTAATATAGTCACTGTTTATTTCATGAAAACTGAAGTTATGCTGAGGGCTGAGCAGCACTGGCATTGAAAAAAATATAATAATCATAAAGTCTGTGTCTGAATCTCTCTTTTCGGAGCTGAAAGGGGAGGTGGTATTGTACCAGCTGGACTAGGCTCCAGCTCTAGGCCTCCTGGCTGATTCAACACGCCTCCCTACCTAAAGAAAAGTGCAACACCCAGTGCACGCCCCAGCCCCTGCTCCCAAGCGTGGGAGTGGGCGTGAGGGTAGAGGATGGGGAAAGAAAAAGAAGAAAGGCATTGATACCGAATCACTTCACTCTCACCTATGATGCCCTTTGCCCAAGCCAGAAGAAAGCAAAAGGGGAAAGGGCTGCAGGGTACATTATTTATTTTCACTTGAACATGGAAAGAAAAGTGTCACACTCCCCCTTCCCCTTTTCAGGGGGAGTGTATTTTAATCAGCAACTGCTTCTCCATCCACCGTGTGTGTGTGTGTGTGTACACACACCACAGTTGGGACAGTGACTAGGCTGACCTAGTCCTCTTACCTATTGTTCCTTTGAAGAGGGTTTGACAGAGAGGGAAAAGGAAGGAGCCACACCAGCCAGAGGTTTCAAGCCATGGAATGGAGGAAGCGAGGCAGAGAGGAGCAGCACCAGAGGCCAGGAGAGAGTGGAAAGGGCCACAGCTTCTTTGTTTTTTAAAAATTCTATAATTTGGGAGAGGGTGGTGATTAATTTCCAAAATACACTTCAGAGTCCCACCTTCTACACAGCTCCCTACTGACAGCCCTTTGGTTTTTCAGACAGAGTTTAAGAGCCCTCATAAAGCCAGAAGTACTGATAACCCCTCAATGCACCCAAAAGCAGTGATCACTTCAATCCCTTACAAAGACTATGGTCTGTAGCCTTTGCTTCTCCCTACACATTTGTCTTACGGCTCAGTGGCAAGGTGACTGTAGAGACACATGAGGGGGTGAGTGGAAAAGGGAAACAAGGGGAAGCCCAGGCACATGGGTGCAGGGAGGGGTGGGGGACACCACTTCCATTTTTCTTTTGTCTTTTCCTTTAAAAAAAACAAAGGCAGGGGTGTGATTGGTTGGAAGGGTAGAGAACAAACCCCAGCACAGCATGTAAGCTCCAGAGGTGGGTGGTGAGAAGTCCCCAGAGAAGTGAGAGGGAAAAGGTCAGGGCAATGCTTGAAGCATCAAGTTCCTCAGGAGTTTCTGCCGGCCCAGCTCATAGTCCTCCTCGTCCACGTTCACCAGCAGCTTGATGGCCTCGTGGCCCACAGCCTGCTTGAGGGAGTCTGTGATAAAGACGCCTTTAAGCGCCTCTAGTAACGAGCCATTGATGTAGTCGCGCCAGAATGCATCGAGGTAGGTGAGCTCAGAGAACTTGATGTCACAGATGATGGAGCCCAGGTCCCGGGACTTGAGGATGGTGTTGGCCTGGTTAAAGCGCTCAAACTGGCGCTCAAGTGGGTCCTGCTTGTTAGAAAAGACGTTGCCCTGCAGAGCAGTCTCATGCTGGCAGTATTCAGCCCGAACCCGCAGTCTGATGTCTGTGGGGAAAAGAAGACGCACAGAAGAGACTGCAGTAAGAGCTGAGTTTACACCCAAGTTTTGAAAAGAACGGCAGAGTAGCAAAGCTGGGAAGAATACCTAACAGCTTCTCTACCTCTTCCCAGGACTAGTTCTTTTCTATGAAGCTCTGAAATCTCAATTCAAGAGTTTCCCTTAAATGGGAACATGCCGAGGTAAGATTATTTCCATCACTCACAAGTAGCACCTTGATTTGAAGAGATATTTTCCTAGTTAACAGAAGTTCACTTTAAGATTCTATCATGACTTGAGTCACTACAATAAGGATGTCATAACGGCAACCCTTTCATCTAGTTATTACTTAGAAAGAGTTGAAATGAACACTGCCACAAAGACAGAGTCCTCCACCCAGAGACTGTAACATTCAACCTCACTGTGCCACAGCGATCAAAAGGGAGCCTTGCTCTGAACAGCATAAGCTGCCCAGTGTTCCGAGGCTTCTCAGGTGGCGCTGATGGGAAAGAACCCACCTGCCAATGCAGGAGACATTAAGAGAGAGGGATTGGGAAGATCCCCTAGAGAAGGAAATGGCAACCCACTCCAGTATTCTTGCCTGGAGAATCCCATGGACAGAGGAACTTGGTGGGCTACAGTCCATGGGGTTGCAAAGAGTCGGACATGACTAAAGCAAATTAGCATGCCCAGTATTGCAGCAGTTCTCTGTATTTCCCCTCCAGTCTACTCCGCCTCTAGAACCGTTGAGCTTCCTCACCGCATGTCTGCTTTTCCTTGGGATCTGGTGTCACTGACTTCCGGCGTTTTCGCTGGCTCCCAAGTGTGGCTCTCCCTCGAGCTGGCCGCTTGCTACACATCTGAGGGCCCGAAGTAGGGCAGCACACCACAGGATAGTGGGGAGGCACTGACCAGAGGGTAAAAAGGGACACACAGCAGGGGAAAAGCAGAAATTGAAGCAATTCACTTGGAATGTGGAGGGATCCTTTAGACTTAGCACTATAGCAGTATCAATAATGTGATTTAGGCAGACACAACATGGGAGCCATTATCGGACCTAGATGAAGCATTAACACCTCATCTGATTTTGAAGGAGGGGCAGATATGGGAGGGACAGTGTCCTTTCATTTAGGCTGGCAAAAGATGGGTCCAGCGTCCTCTTTCTTGATTATGGAAGTTAGGGAGAGTTAGGATCTCACCTGTTTTAGGGGGGTGGGGAGGCCTCGGCTCTGGGTCGCTGAGGGCTCTGGGTGTCACATAGCGGACTGATGTCTCCTCCAGGTATTTGTCTACAAGATCAGGGCACACTGTAGGGGGAGAGGGACTCACTCAGGAGAAGGTACACCCTCCCCTTCTAGTCCAATCCTCCAGCGCACCTCGAAGCGTCCTTCCCAGGACTCCCCGGAGTCAACGCCCCCTTCTGCCTGGCCTCCTGTGCTGCTTACTCGGGGCCGCCCACAGCTCTCCCCTGACCCCAGCGTCCCCGCCCCAGGGGCACCCTCACCAGCCCGTCTCCGCTTGAGAGTGACGTAGGGCAGCAGGTCGTGGCGAGTGATGATGCGCAGCAGCTGCAGCACCTGGCGGAAGTTGCTCTCATCACAGCGGCCCTGGCGCTCCAGCGCCAGTAAGAAGTCACGTCCGTTCCGGATGAGGCCACGCTCGTGGTCGTCGATGACGTCGACAAAGAGGAAGGAGAGAACGCGCACGTCCCTGTGCGTCAGGTGGGTGCCCACGATGTCGAACATGCGGTGCAGGCTGTAGAGCCCGTGCTCCTGCTCACCGTGCTCTTCGGGCCACACCTGGCTTGCCCTCCGCTTCAGGCCCGCCATGCTGGGGGCTCAGGCACACAGTGCTTCCCAGAATCCCTGCTCAGCAGCCACAATCCCCACTGTACTGGAAGGACAAGGAAAGAACCTGTGAACCACTCAATGTCAGGAACTAGTCTCAGCCAAGCCTGTACTCTCAGAGCCTAACATAGTGCCTGGCACTGTGTAGTGCTTAAGAAGCATTTATTAACTTTTACAAAGTTGTTGATTTTTTTGGCTCACTGTGCAGCACATGGGATCTTACTTCCCTTGATCAGGGATTGAACCTGCATCCCTTGCATTGGAAGCATGGAGCCTTAACCACTGGACTGCCAGGGAAGTGCCTATAAAATATTTATTAAAAAATAAAGCCTAGAGCTCTCTATATTCAGGAGATGCTGCCCTAAGTCCAGATCTTACTAGAGAAAGACAGTCACTTCCGCTAAGTAAGACTCACTAATTACGATTTTATTTTTTTTTTAATTTTTTTTTTTTTTTACTAATTGCGATTTTAGTGCTACATATTTAGCAGACATTGTCCCAATTGTTCCTCTGGCCTCCAAAATACTGCTTTTGGTCCTGTGTGCTCTCCCTGACAGTGCCCCCAATCAATTCATTCCTTAAATGAAAGCAAAATGGAGAAGTAGAAAGTTCACTCTAAATTCTAACACAGAAGCTGCATCAGGTAAACTTAGGGGCTGACGGCAGAGAAACTGAAAGTCTGAACTAGTTTTAATTCTGCCTGTATTATTAACAAACTGTAGCTACGTGACCTTAAGTAAGTCACTTAACTTGAAAGCCTCAGTGTCCCCATCTACAAAACAAGGAAGAAAGAAACTACTCCTTGGAGTTATTAAGAACCCAGTGGGAAAATGCACATGAAATCTCCGTAAAACTTTTCTAACTTGTTAGGAGATTTCAAAGAGACAAGCATCCTTGGCCTCTGCAGCCCAGACTCATCCCTCCACAGACCTATCCTCATTCTCCTACAATCTAACCAAGTCCAGGAGAATAACTGCTGAGGAAGTTAATCAAATATCCACCAGAACTCATGGATTTAAATCAACAAGCAGCACTAAGCTACTACACTGAGCACGCATGGGATTCTCCTACGCCACCCCTGCTCTCCTGATGTTCACACCATTTGGATATACGCCACTTTCTCACCTTTCCTCATGGTCATCATCTACCAACCCCCTGTAAATGACCAAGCACAGTCCTACATTTATTATGTATTTTGGCATTTGATTCACAAATTTCCTCCATCATTGTGGGTAATGTCAGTGACCCAGCTAATAACCAATTCTCAAGTCAAATAGCTTTCATCTCCTCTCTAGTCACTCATATTTACTACCCTACCAAGTACCACCCAATAATACTACACCCTCTGACCACAACCTCCAATCACCCAAACAATTGTAAATTCCTGTTGATACTGCTTTCTGTTTCTTCAAGTTGCC